GAACCTGATAATAGAACCGCTAGCCTTTGTGCTGAGTCTTCTATAATGTGCTTGTCGCGTGATTGAAGCTTGACACAGTGACTTTTGTGACAAATATAGTACATACAACAATGCACGCTAGACCGTATTTATGATACCTATTGTCCCCCTGTGCCTATATGTGCATTAACACCTGCCAGATACCGACACGAAAGCCGGGGTCACGACACGAAAGCCGGGGTCACGACACGAAAGCCGGGTCACGACACGAAAGCCGCTGGTGTAGGTTTAGATATGGAGATATCTATTTCTTCAATAAATCAGAAAACACCCAGAGTCCTTGTGATGGTTAAATTTAATCAAATGACAAGGGTTTTTTAGTACCTCCCCGGCGCTTTCTCCTCTCTTGATGTTCATCAGGGTCTATATAATATAGCATAATTTATTCTTATATTTAATTAGAAAACATGCAAAAATTTCACAAAATTTTAAATATAACAAACATTGTCAACTTGCCTTTATATAGTTACAATGGTAGTCTATATTTTATCCTTCTTTGAAAACTTTCCATATATATATATTCTGCCTACAGAATCATTTTTAAGTAACATCGAAACCGGTAAAGCACTTTGTTAGCATGCCAAACATGATCAATGCCCAATTTCACATAATCAGGAGATTTGATTTTCTGGTTTTGTAACATACCAAAACACTTTATTATATGACTCGTGTTTTAAAGTTATGTGCAGCAGTACCAACTCATAAATATGTATTCTGACAAAGTAATCTCACCGCTGGGGAACTGCTTAAGGTTGAGATTGTGTTATAGGCAAAGACATGCAATTATATAGAAACAATAAAATAATCTTAATAGTAAAGCTTATATACACTTATCATTATTTTTATTTGCCTAAAACAAAATATGAAGGAATATTACATTAGTTTATATCTTTAACTCTAAACAAATACAGCAAGACAAGTGAACCTACTCTGACTCCCCAAACAAACCTTTTATTTTAGCACATTGATTTTTGTGAACTTGAACGAAGGTCAAGGTCACTAACGTTACAAAACTTATATCAATTAGCATGAACAACCTATTGGCCAACTAACAAGACACAAGGACCTTTGGTCATGAAGAAACACAAGTCAAAGGAAAAGTGGAAAGAAAGCTACATTTTGTATGTTTTTCTTTTCTTTTTTTAAATCAAAAGTGTGATATGACTTTACCAGTTGTCATTTATTTTGAAATTCCTGATGTTGAGAGTTATTCTAGTAGCCAACATTTAAACAAGTATGAAAAAACGACTCGTTTTAGTACTATGTAAATTAACGTGTCCAAAATGGAAATTTCTCATTAGTAATGAAATTTCACATACTTTTCTGCTTAAATCTTCAATAAAAAGAACAATTCTTTCTTGAAATAGCTAATGTTCAATCTCAATAGGCGTTGACGCTACCTTGGCAGAAAGGTGTCTGGTTTTCAATTGTTCCATTTTCCTTTAGAGGCATGCTATTTTTTATCACGTACGGATATCTCCTGCACATAAGTTTAAAATAATCGAATACAAGGTGGCGCGCGGTTAGAGCCTTTGATTTTGTCATGCAGAGATGTGTGTTATCGAGACCATAATATAAATATATTTGTTTTTTATTTATTGATCACATTTCTAACATAACAATGGCCTACCCTCATTTTCAAAATCCGAGTGTTCAGCTTTCGATACACACAGGTATATTGAGGATGGAAGCCTTGGATTACGAAGATTGCTAGTTGTTCCTGTAATAACGATTAGCTAGCCTTAGCGTTTTGGTCGTTACTTTATATAAAACAATTACGTAGAGAAAAGTTATCGTTAAACAGAGATTTATTAGTTTCCAGTGATGAGTTCCTTTTCAGAATGCAAGTTGAGCAGTGCCAGAAATGTTGAATGCTAGCTGTTAGCGCCGAAATGGCAGCACCGACTTATGCTCCCCAGGGAATTGAGAATGATATTGGCTGGTTGCAAAGGCTTTATGACCACGGATAATAATTTGTGAACCGCTTTGAGACGAACTACGAACTAGGTTGTGATAAAGCGGTATACACGGACCTCGAATTATTTATTATTATTATGTTACTTATTGCGATATGTACCGGCCTTCTACAAGCGTTCCACAGTTAGAATGACTCTTATGTAACAGAAAAAAACTGACACCGATAACACATGTTTTATTAGAGCGTAAATTGAAGAAAAAAAGGAGATAACTATTACATGACTACATGAGTTATCATATTCCGTCTTTGCGTATTGCAGAGTTATCTTCTCTTGTGAGCAGGTATTCTCTTGATTGTTACGTCATTGGTTTGTGAGAGTAACGTCATCAATTTTTGAGAAAACCATGTAATTTTCTCACACAAACCAATGACGTAACAATCAATACCTGCTCCCAAGAGAAGATAACGCAATACGCAAAGACGGAATATTCCTAACAGAAAAGTCAGGTTTTATCAGTGTGAATTCGTTATTCAAGACCTCGGAATTCCGAACAACTCGTATCCTGGTAATTCATGGGATTTCTTCCGATACGTTCTCAAGACAGAACAAAGCTTACAGTTAGCTATTGGATTGGTTCTAGACATCAAAAAATGACCAATCGCAGATACTCCGAGATCAAAACCTGCAGTTTTTAGAATAGTCAATTGGTATCATCCGCTAGGTGGTGCGGTTAGAGCCTATTTTGTCTGAAGAAATCCCAAGGATGCCGAGATGTGTGATATCCAGATCAAAACCCTTTGAATTTCGAAGTTGAACATGTCGCGAAAACGGGCGATTTCAATTTAAGTGACACAGACGACATTTCGTTCGAATATGTCTTACTCTTACGTATGCTTGTGATACGGAGTTGTTTACAGCCGTGGTGGAAATGAAAGACAGTGGCGTAGCATACATGTATGCTTGTATGCTCAAGCATACACTAAAATTTCGAGGTTTTTTAATCATATATATATATTTACTAATTTCTTTTTAGTGATTAATATGGACCGTCTGTTTCAATCGTAAAAATGTGTAAAAACATTTAAGTCTGATAAAAACATTGGAAAATATCAATTGTTTATATAGAATTCTAAATCAAAAACTAGATAGTGAAGTACACAATTTAATATTATTTATTTATAAAAAAAGTCGTGTTTTACTTGTTAAAGATCAGACTAAAATGATTTTCCAGAAAATGAGAGATGGCTTCTAGGGCCTAGGAGATTTTCTTTTCAATCTATAGGAGGAAAACTCCCCCTCCTCCGGCACTACGCGCCTCGGACGCTCGACCCCCCTATAGGCCTGTAAGCATACTCTCCGAAAAATGATAGATACGCCACTGCCGCATAGGAAGGGTGTGTTCCACATGTAATTGTAAACTTTTGGAGGAAGTGACAGAAACACAGTATATCCCGTCGCTTATTGATGTTGGAGGTCTTACGAGAGACAGGTCCACATTTAAACCTAGTTCAGGTACACCTCAGCTGTATAGCAATTATGAACACGACAGACGGTAATACGTATACCTTCAAAAGCCTGACCGGCGGCAGAGAAAGCCGCTGTGCACAGTTTGTCCGAGTCTGTATATGTTAACGTTTCCTGAGGATAAATGACGATTATAACACAAAGGGAAGCAATGATTTGACAGATTTGTGACGTCAGCAACAGTTACGACTTCCTTCTTGGCTATAGTTGTTATTGTAAAAGCTTGGCCGATATAGGACACTGTTTGTTTACGACTTTAATTCTCACACATTATCCCCACTTAAGAATGTTTCTTAGGAAATATCATCCTTTCCCAAGGACAACCATTATATTTACCTGTCCAATGCTATACTATGTGTAAATAACACCCCTCAATACAAATAGCGGAGTATATAATCTTTCTTTTTTCTTACTTAAAATATCTTCAATACGATCTACTCCAATGTAAAGGGTACATCTGGTCACAAACGGGTTCGTCAGGTCTGGCTTATTTTAACGAGGATGTATGTAAACAGCTTCTGTTTCCTTCTGTCCATTTTAGGTTAAGTGAATGAAGGGGAGGATCCAGGGGCCGATATGAATATGGGCTCCTGGCCCCTTCCCCCAAACACACATATAAGATTTTATTTTTAAATCAAAAGGTTTATTATTAGCCGACATTTCCAGATGAAGTAACAATACATAAGATAATCTAAAACAATACAAAACCAAACCAAACCCTGGGCCCGGATTTTCGGTGTCCAATTCCAATGGGAATATCCTCGTTAGATCTGCATCAGACTCTTCACTTACGGTTTCCAAACCTTCAGTTCAACAAACACATCAACAAATAGTTAAATATATATTTTTTATTATTTTCAAAAATGAACATGTAACCTTTTTATATATATTGCAGTCATTATAAATCAATTACATTTGAAAATCATGTTTTAAAATCCTAACATGCAAGTCTCTAGCTATCATTTTCCTCTCCAAGTACACGTGCCACGTAGGCGTGTGTTAACATTATTTACACGTCAACATGACAGAAATGTATTCTCAGAGATACACACTGGCTTCACTCGATTTACACGTGGTGATAAGGGAGTACCAAGAGACCACGGTCGATGTTTCCGGCGTAAAACGTGTTTTAAAGGGAAAAGTAAACAACCAAAACGTATCCAACAACGCTACAAATCAACTTGAATTTAAATATTTTTTATTTTGTTTTATGATTTAAATATTATTGATATATGATAATGCTCACTTATTTGCATAATGAATGTTTTAAACGGAATCCAACAGGAATTATACTGGCAAAATCAACAATATAAAAAGATTAATTTCAATAACGTAATTAATTAGGCACACATGGTAATTTCGATGTTCAGATCAGGGGAAATTTGTAATTTCATGTAAAAAATAGTTAAACTTTTATCAAAATGAAATATCTCACTCCGATTTTGTAAAAAGTTTTGAATGAAGTAAACAATATATATATATCACAAATATCTGACAAACATCTGACAGCGGTTTTACTTTATCACAAATTAAGTGGCTATAATATCAGGTAACTCTTGATTTCCTATGGTAACAACGTATGTCTGTGTGAACTGTCGGCATCCAGATATCACGTACTCACTCACTTCCATTCGTTCACAAATCCCTTCCTTTTCGTTACAGTAAAGTTAAGGAAGCCCTGGGGTTATTTCTATACATCAGAACTGTCGACCAGTACACAGTCCCCTACCACTACCCGCCATATACATATATATACCTAGCACACACTAAAAGGCTAGTAATCACGTTATATTACAGCTAACGTTCGGAGGACACAAAAGCACGCAATGTATACTGTTTACAACCTATCGCTCTCAACGACACAATAAAATATATGCTACCTATAAAAATGTACAGCGCCTGTATATAATTTCTCGAGTCATAAAAACAAAATAAGTTACAGGTATACCCGTGTAAGTTATTTATAGAATGCCCGCGTGATAAGTAACTGTCAAGACTAACAACAGTATTTGACACTGCAATTACTATGAAATGCTACTCGGTACTCCGGACGGTAACGGAAACAATCGATTGGTATATCTCGGTACTCCGGACGGTAACGGAAACAACCGGTCGGTATATCTCGGTACTTTCCGTACGTTCCAAGTGCCACTTTAGCAGGATTATTTTGGCGAATCTGAGTTTGACCATATAAGGAATGTTTGCTGTAATACCGCAAAATGCCCGGATGTCAATAATCAAATGGCATATGGTCTGCCTAATACCCCTTTAGATAGGAGTGGCAATGTATATTCTGTATTAAATGCGTGCAGGAAGAGCGTTAACATATCATAAAAGCTTTGTCAATGCCCCGATACGTAACAGTACCCTTTTATTCTCTTTCTCCCTCGTGCGTTCTCTCGCTCTCCAATCAGACAGAAAGACAGTCGGTAAATCATGTGACCACCATATACTGACCAATGGTAATATATAAATCGATATCAGTAAATAATCTTGCCGTACAAATAAAGCATTGTCATCTTACAAAACACCTAGCGCCTTCCTTTACACGGTCAATTCATTTTCAGCAAGTTCCAACCAAAATAACCCATTGAGGACTTGATCTGATCCAATCGATTTGAACGCACAATGGAAGGCGGTTCAGTCAAATTGTATATATACACTGTACAGTATGGCTACGTGTGGAATACGGGGAAGGTTGGAAGACATCACGTGATCAAAATTAAGGTCATTTCCGATTAAAACTGCATGGAATTAAAAAAATAACTTGTTCACATGTTTTAATTAATGTATGTACATGTCTATAATACCTAATCTGTATCCTTCTGGTAAATACTTGGTGGTTAATTTTGTGTATGGCGAGTTTAACATGAATGCCGTAACAATATTATACACTAATAACAACTTCACATAAAAATCGCCTATACTAACAACCAAGGCACGTATTCTGAGATCTCTCTAGTCTATTGTTATAGGAAAACTAGCCTACAAGACGAAATTCAAAATTGCAGATTTCGCGTGAAGCCCAAAATCTAACTGCTTCAGAAATTTATATCTAATAAAAGATTCACTATAATTTGGAACAATCACTTCCTCTGCGAATTGGGGAGGGAAAATTGGCAATAAATAGGTTTTAAAAATTTAACACAGTATGAGTTCGTTGTGATTTCGTTGAGCATTCTGGACCATTTAAAATGATTCAAAATCAAAAACATTTCACTTGACCATGTTTACAGAAATATTATCGTTAGTATAATACAAGGCAACATTGTCTTCTCAGAGACTAGCTATACACAGATTCATCTTGGTAGATGCCTCAACGAAAATTTGAAACGAACACTGGCAAGCTTGCTTTAAAAATAATGGAAGCATGACGACTTTGAGTCTGAATGAAATATCCACCCAATCCATGAACACGTGACCATGTGGTACAACCGGGTGTTAGAATTTTTAACATTGGACAAAAACGATAAATTATGAGAGAAAAAAAATCTGAAACAACCGCATATCATTTATAAAAGCTTCACTGCAAAAAGAAATCATTCGTTGATTATTTATCGCCCTTCCTTTTTTAATAGCATCATGACTTGTACATTTTATCTAGTCTACAACAGGACAATCCACAAAGACGTATATGCACACGATCCGATGATGTTATGTTTATGAATGTAATAAAATAAAACTATGAATTGCGTATATCTTTTCTGGAAATCATATTACCGATTGATTTAGCGTACCTACAGAAACTAAGCCAGAATTTCAACTGGGATTTGTTAAGCTTTAAAAAAATCGAATCTATGAACAAAGAGAAAGGTATTGAGCAGTACTAAAATAGCTTCACGCTCTGTAACAACATACACGTGACACTTGGCAAGATGCTCTGGATTCCGATAAGCAATCAATATTTTTCATAAGCTATTATTCCCGTTTCCGGAAGAACACAACCGGAAGTGAAACATGGAAGTTCAAGGCAATATGAACACTTTACAGTAGCCGTGTTTGCGCCATTACACGAATCCCTATTTCAAACACAACATTCACACATCGGTATCGTCCTAATAATACTTGTGTTTATGTTTTAAGATTTTAAGAAATCTTTCGAGTTCAATTTTGTCCATTTTGATAAAACTTTAAAAAAAAAAATGATAAAAACATCAAAAATATCAAATTACATTTTAACTTTGTGTGTTTGCAAGCTAGGTTTGAGCTTTATCGAGACTATGATGAAACTGGGCTAGGTGTAATAGACGCTTGGCAAACATCGTAATATTCGACACGTGACTAGTATAGTGAGTCCCTGGCGTTTGTTCGATATGCTACCCTCCAAAACAGTTCCTGTCCCTCATTGTGTGTAACACAGCTGGTTCATTAACACCGACTTCTGACGCGTCGTCACATGACAAAACAGATGACAAAGTCACGTAACACGTCATATTGACTTCCCATCACATGAAAACGTCATCCACATTCAAGCAAGCCAATATCGCGTATTTACACGTGATCAACCCATTTTGGAATGTTGATTATTTTCTCTGGAAATGTTACAATATTTGTTCTCCGTTCATTTTTTTAGCCAATGCGCATGGTCAGCGCGCATGGTCGGCGAGCACCGTAAAAATGCGGCACGAAATGTCATGATGGCAGTTATTGAGTAGAACACCTCGTATTCGTGCTAAACTAATGTCTAAATCATGGATGAGGTTCATAGTCCTCGGCCATCTTTTTCACAGAGTCTTTCTCGCGATAGATTCCCCATAAATTCATTACTAAATCTGTGAGGAGAATGGCGTTTGAATTCCTGGCTACAAGACGCAATACAAATAGACCATCATCGCGCAGATAGTCGTCGGCGAAAGACTTGCAGATTTTCTTGTCGTCATTTCCGTGTAATTGATCCTTGACCTTCAAGAACTTTTTGACGTATGCTACTCTGTTCTGTTTGACGACTGTTCGCCATACCCAGAAACAGAAATTACCGAGGGTAAGGACGGCTACGAACACGAACCAGAACCACAGGAAGATGAAGATCTTCTCGTTGAAGAGATTGATAGGAAGGACACATTGTACTGTCCATCGCTGAAGATTCTGCAACTGGCGGATATCGAAATCACACAATGTTACGCGAGGAAATCTCGTTGATTCACGAATTGATGAGCCGCTGGCGAGATCTCCCATAACCTCTAGTCCGTAAGCTGAGTAGAAGTCGTGTCCCATGAACCCGTTCAGAATGAAGAACTGGCAAATGATGTTGACACAGTACAGAATTTTGACGAACATGTAAAGTCCTATGAGGAAGGTTCCGTCCCTCTTGTTGCATAGCAAGCAACATACCTTCGATGCTTTTTGACGCATGCGCACCACGAAGTTGTATTGGTACTGGCGGTGAGTGTCCAGCCACCGGTCGATGTAAACAGCGATGTGTTTCACGGTCTCATCCCGTTTCTTGGGTTCGCTGGACTGGGTGTCGGCGGCCATGTTGACGATTCTCTGGACGTTGATTCCACTGTATCCGTTCAGCATTCTCCAGACTAAGCATGGGAACTTGAACATAAAAGCCATGAACACTAAAATGATTGGCACCCACTGGTAATAAGTGAGCTCTTCTTTATCACGCGCCTCATACGCCTCCGGGATGCTATCATCCATCGGTATATAGTAAGTATTTTTAATCCAACAATAGGATTTCGTATACGAGACATACGACCCCGTAAATTGTGCGGGACACCAACATTGGATGGGGTCCCCGACATATTGGCCGCCACCAGTAAACACGGCGAAGATGCACAGTAACACTACTGTGTAAAGATGGTTCATACGATCTATCCAGTCGTCGTCATCATTCCCTTTGAGTTTGTTCCAACTCGCCCAGCTTCCGAAAATCCAAACGATCCTGAGACAACAGAAAGAATACAATTTAGTCACGGAACAGATAATAACACAATCACAAGATAATGTTACAGAACTATCAGTGTTTCAAAGGACACAACCCTAATAAAATGTTCGAAGCATTTACAAACTCTCGTTGTTTCAAAGGGACACAACTGTATTTATTATAAAATTCGAAGTACTGTATTTACATTAATCTCGTTGTTTCAAAGCGACATAACTCCATTTTATATAATGTTCGACGTTATTTCATAACTCTTATTGTTTCAAAGCGACTCCTTCATCAAAAATATTTTTTCTGCAGCCCAAAACCTAATTTAGATAATGTTTTTAAACACCACAATAAAGATGACTTCGGGCTTTTGAAAGAATATACTGAGTTAACTATCTAAATTTTAGAAGAATAGAATAATATTGGATTTGCATTTAAATACAAACATATTGCAAAAGTTTCCTACATTTACGTCAGGGAATATAGAAATGCTTTATATCATAGTGCTGGTTCAAATTTTATTATATTACGATGACCACGTAATGATTTGAAGATGGGACTTGTACATGTCTCTAGATCCCATGATCTCCGACATACAATTAATATGCATTGACTTAGATAGACGCTAGTTATCAAAACGAATCCAGGACATAGATATATGGGGTTCGGTACACATTTGGATGACAAAGAAACACGGAAATATACCAAGGTCGAATGTCTACAGTCACATAACAATAGACAGTTTGCTTATCAACACGAAAGAAAGATATTCTTATCTGTCGGAGTACAAAGTATGCCACCTTGGACGTATGGCCATGAACTCATTAGACGTATGGCCATGAGTTCATTAGACGTATGGCCATGAGCTCATTAGACGTATGGCCATGAGGTCATTAGACGTATGGCCATGAGGTCATTAGACGTATGGCCATGAGTTCATTAGACGTATGGCCATGAGCTCATTAGACGTATGGCCATGAGCTCATTAGACTAAGTACTAGGTGAGAATTTATTTAATCCCAGGGACAAGTCCACTGGAATAATTGGGGTTTGTATAGGGAGCATGAGAAAGGCTGTTGACAAATCTACGACAAATGTGAAAAGGTGAATGTGGACCCTTTAGGGCATTTAATTCCCTTACGTAACTCGGCCATATACACGCAGGTGTTGAATGTCGGACCCCATTTAAAAGGGCTAATTGCATCATATTACGTCATAACGGCCAATCATGAAAGACCTCCCGTTGGTAATTAAAGTCCGAGACGCGGACAAGCTTACGTTAAGATACATGTGTGGTACACAAACGATGTAGACTGGGGCCCCACACGGGTGTTTTATGTATGGTCCCCGATTCAAAACCTCATACGACGGGGAGGTAACTAAATACGAGATACAAAACTCGAGAGACGTTCGACTATCTATTGTTCATGTCAATTAAAGGTTGGCCATCTAATTACCATAGAAATTATTAATGTCAATAAAATATTAAAATGTATATATAACCGGTGCTATGCAGTTTCCTGGTTCACCTATAGACTCTCATAAGTAAATAAGAGACCATGTGGTCCTTGCAATAAGTTTAGTCATTAGTCCAAGCTATGTGTCAGAATCAAGAATGTAAGGTGCTGCAATATTTGCGTATCAGATGAGCTGTCGGTGTGTGGTATTTCACGTAGTATGTGTGGACCGTTAATCCAGCACATTACTGTCGATCGATACTTTCAACTTTCAACTTTTCAACTTTATTCTCTTTCACAATACAATGTATAGAGAAACATATTTACAATATAATATATAGTAATTGTAGTGTTCGTAGTCGGTAGTACACAGTACTGTTTTATAATATATACACATTTATATCGAAGAGGTCAAATACTGTTATTAATTATTCTAATAAAAGTACAAAGTTTCTTCAGTGTTTTTCTATTAGTAGTATTCATCAATTCATTAAACTTAATTACATTTGGTCTTGTCCAAAAATATTTATATATAAATATATATATCGATAAGACAACTCTTGTCATCTGTCCCCGACATCCCACTCAATTACCCGGCCAAGTCAATCTATATAACGTAAGATGTTATCAGCGAGTATGTGTTGATTATAATATTGTAAAAAATGAAACTATTTTAAGACGAACAAGTAGAATTCGAATTCAACAACAAGCAATAATTTACATATATAAATTCATATTTTAAAACCATATTTTGTTAAATGTTGATTTTTTTCCGTGTTTCTTTTTCAACCGGGTGTGTGACGCATTTAACGATATAATAACTTATTCATATTCACAGCGAGATGCCAGACAGGCAATACGGACTGGCATACATACACAGAAATAAACCGTACGTGACAGACATTCTCAAAATGTCAAACTCGTACAATATGATCCGAGTCATTTTACAGTCGTCTAAAGTAGCTGTCTATATATCACAAATTACAAACCACAATTCCCACACACACCATCTCCGTGTTTACTTATCTCGCTGTATGCTAATATACGAGTTTTCCTTGATATTATTAACTGACAAGAACTTTTTTCTTAATTATTCTCTACTCGGAGGGGGGGGGGGGGGGGTATGTTAATATATTGGTGATAGAATAGAATGGCTTCCAGCCCTAAAGTTTCTGTATAGAATTCTTAAACAGTTCTTTAAAAATTTAAAAATTCTTAAATTTAACTACTAGTTAACTTACCTCTAATTTGAAAGATAGGGCATCGGGTGGGAATCAGACGTGTAAATGATCAAAATTAAGAATAGATTCCATTTTTTTTTTATTTACTTAAATAGTCTAGAGACGGAGTCTAATAATTAAAGGCAGCGGATTTAATTTTCATAGATATAACTAATCTGCTAAATAGGCAAAATAATACTTTTAATTTCGACCAGTCAAATTGCTGTAATATTCCACAAATAACAATCGACCTAAAACGGAGCCTTGACGTAGTGCTTGTGATAGGTAAACTTGTGTAAATGCCCTATTCGTGGGCGGAACGGGCTTAATTTGAAATTCCATATCAAGCCTCTCGACATGGATGCTTGGGAAAATTAAACATGAAAGTTCATTTTAAGAAACCTGACAGCAGGCGTTTCGCCTGGCTGCCGAGGACTGAATGGTTGGTTGTAGTGGTTTAATTAAAAACATGGGGCTATTAAAATGGAAATCTATTTAGATAGCCAGGAACCGTAAACTCACTGACCACTATCTTACAAGGGTATGAACACCGAGATCTAGGGTCTGATGAAAAGTATACGATCTTATTTCACAATAGATCTTTCACCTTCTCAAGGTCGGAGACGAGACGGACATCGGATCCGTTTCATTATGTGTAAAGGATGATAGCGAAGAAAAGTAGTTTGATACAAAAAGATATGAAATAAATATCAAACCAAGAGCTTGATAGTTCTTAATAATGTTGTTTTTTTCCCGATCAGAACAATTAACTTGAAGGCAAGATAATATTCACCATGAGAACGGACAAGCAAATCTAATGTGAGATTTGAATTTTTATTATTATTATTGCCTTGACCGTCAGGGATGACGACGCTGCCAGACCTGATGGCGTTGTTAAGTTTATGGTACTACAATGACCCTTTGTGGCCTGTGTCTATTTATAACTGTAATTCAGCACGAATTTAAATCGGATGTCGATTAAATGTCCCCCCACCCAATAAAACCATAAAATGACTTATCTTCGAGAATTTTATCTATTCGACCTGCATGAAAATGTGATTAAATGATGCGACTGTCGTCTCATGACAAGTCTCCTAACTGTGTTCTCCATGTGTAACTATCAAACTGGACCCTTTTACTCGTAGTTGCTGTTCTAAACGAAGACATACGATTGTAATAAAGACAACTGGTCTAGCGCTTCTCATTAAATATGAAGTCGTAAATCAACGCCTTTGAAACTATTGACTTTCTTGCAAACCTAAGCAAAGTCAACGTTACGCAACCTTTTGATCTAATCGCTTTTATTTGCAGTAAAATCACATACATATGTATATCAGATACATTGTCGGTGTCATCAAAAGTTGACTTTCAGCGCTGCGGGACAACGGTACCACGGTTAGTTAAATAAGATCAAGTCGACATGCAGATAAAAATTGGGAATTTGCTTCTGGCTTTAAAAAATATCTCCTTTTTATCTCCCAGTAACGTGTTACGTGATGTTAATATCTGTTTTTAGGTTCTAGTTTGACCGGAAGCAATGTCTAGTGTCTGATGAATTTACAAGGGAGATTGCATCATACGTTTACACCTGTCCTTATCACAATAGCCAAAGGAAAGACTCGTCCACCACTGTAAGCATACCTAATGACACGTGTGATGGAGAAAGGGTGTACGAATCTTGCATAACTAGTATATATATTATCTATTTTATAAAAGGAATTTAAGCACTTTATGATGCGGTTGTCATTTTTTATTGCGTTTTTCGTGATCCTGTCAAGATATCTTTGTATTGGACCAAAAATGATCAAACATTGCAAGTTTTATTAATGACACTAGCCCTTTAAATATTTGTTTTCTGAACGATAGCTTCAGAGTGACGTAATATAATGACAACACTACAAAAACAGAAAACCTCTCCACTGTCGACTGTGTCTTTATGGGTTGTATTTTTTTCTACAGGATCTTAGCTCACGGTAATTTCACCTTGACCGATTGGTCAATGTTGTCAATGTTATCTACTAGTCGAATATTGGCATAAATTGTGGTTCCTGATGTTCATTTCTTAATTTGTGTGTTTCAAGTGTAACGCACCGTTATATAAAATACCAGACGAATTTCGTCTTTTTCTCTCTCGACACGGCACAACTAGCTTTTATAAACACAGATTATTTTACTTAAGTGACATACAAGTTGTTCTGTTATGATAATCCTACACACGAATCAGTCATACGACATAGTTGATATAAAAACATTATGACTGGTGGGGTTTTATAATAGCATGTGATCCCTCTACTTTGCATGTGTGTATCACATTCGTTCCTTGACAAAGTCTGATTGTAAGTCTGTGTTGTAACATTTCACTTTGGTCAAGGAGGTCACAGCGCTAGGGATTATAACGAATTAGACTTTGATTTGAATGTTGAAATCGGCCGAAGTTTAAAGTAGATGTACAGATAGCGGTGAATTATACCGGCAATATTTCTACGTGTCAAGTGAGTAACGCATTGTTATAATAAATTCATACCCGAACTTACATCAATTACGTCGTGCAGAAAATGATTGTCCACGCTAGATCAGTTTAAAACAAAGAAAATGAAACTGTACTTCCTTTGAAACGCCTATGGGTAATTTTATTGCTTATCACGGTGTAGATCACATTCTACCATTGAAAGATTCAGGATATTTTTGTCTATTTCTATATCCTCGCCGATTCCGACAGATCTGTTCGATATTAAGGTTTCCTTTTACATGTGCTCCACGACTTCAATGTTACCACTTAGTAGTACCACGGCGTATTTAGCCCCGGGGGTATGCTAACTAATGTATTCCGGACTGTACGTACGTCAGCTGTCAACTACTCATCTCCACCCCCAGGGCTACAATTGGATCTCGCCATACCAACAGACAAAGATCAGATCTAACTTAAGAAGCACATCCCAATGCAGGCTACAAAATACTATAAGATTTTCGATGTATTATAAATAGCATGTTTTTTTCTCAGATTTTATTAAAACACAAGTAAGTAAAAGGCATTTAACTGATTTAAAGTGTCTACGCTGCATTAAGTTTGTAACGCGATAGATCTAACCTAAATTATTTTATACGGAGTTACTTCCCCTTGACCATCGCTAAAAAGTACATACAACGACAAATTATTATCAGGTTGTGCTATATAGTCGCGGATTTTAACCGATAAGCGTTTAATACGATACTTGACGAACAAAAGGCGTGAGTGGTTTAGTGCAGGTAGTCTGTTGTGTAGTTCAAAAGCTAAAAAAATATCTCCCCTAGGTTTAGAAACTCTCTTTATGAAAATAATCTAAGATCTAGGTTTTAAAATCAAATCAATTTAAACTTTAAAGTATAAACCACATAAATTTAGCGCAAGGTGCGTGTTTTGATTTTGTTTGTTCGTATAAATGTACATTAGCTTGGGCTAGGTTATATTCCATGTTTTGAATTGCCTGTTTAGTCCTCTGGGAAGAGATTTGTGTGCCGATTCACATGCATATTTTTATTGCATACGTGTGAGTTAAACGGTATTTACTAATAATAATGTCACCTCCGTGGTAAATAAAATGTTACTCAAACGGTAGCACCACACATATTTATAGCAGTTATACTAACGAAACATTAATGTTTTCTTTTAAATCAGAACTTGTGTAGAAAAAATACTTTGTAGAAAAATTCATGTTAATATATATCCTGGTTGTTAAACACACGGCCCTATAACAATGTTAGAACCTATAACAGCTGACGTTTAAGAGATTTACACGACCGTCACACCATTATTTACTGTCGGTGTTTTAATCTAAAACCATAAAACGTCCAGAAACACTCAAAATCAGGAGAGGACAAAATGTGTTCTCCAGTCCCGTGCTATTACTACATTAGTTTATATGGCTTCCATGAGGCTAAATTATTCTGGACAGGACTCAAATTTCTGACATTAGGATTGGTCCACTGGCTTTTCAAGTAATAACATAAATACATCACATGCACACTGTTATTTTCTGTAATTACCATGTGAGTAAATAGAGTGAATATTGATAGCTTGCCATCCCGAAATGTCACAAAAATTGACCTTCAACCAAATACCAACATTGTACATGTTATTTACACCGGTAGCAGCTTATCATCAAGTAAACCGTCTTGTATACTAAATCCTACACAATTTATCTGATAAAGTTGTCGTATCTGAAATCTGGTTCATAATCTACGTATCATATACAAGTTAAGTTTTTACAACATTGTGTTTACAGATATGTACCTATCTGGTTTAATTCCTACAGAGCTCTGTGGGTTTGATATACCTGTTTCTAAATGTTAATATCTAAAGCATCTTGTAATTATTCACCTTTGATATTTATTGTTATCCCTCGATATGACTAACCTCCTCAGAAAGAAGGGCTCCAGAAGGGGAAATTTGTTCAATACTTGGTTCAATACTACGGAAGACTTTGATATTTTTAATGTGTTATAGACTGTGGGAGGCCCCCTTTCCTGTGTACTTGCCATTGTTACTTTATATATTAGATACGACCGACAATAACCAGCCCATGATATTAATTGTTACCTACCACTTGTTGCCGACAATGACGCTAATTATTACATAAGTATGTGATAACAAACAGACATGTACGTACTTTTGCATGTGGTATGTATCAACTGCACGTGGGAGAGGACCAACCTNCCCCCCCCGATAAATTGGGGTGGGGTTGGGACTCACGTATGTCAGAATAGTGTTGATTTTTATGATGTCATATGCATATTTTCTTTCCTAATTTGTAATTGGTATGTTATATTTCTCCAACATTCGCTAAATTGGTATAAACTATGACAAGCAAACAACATCTCCTGATTTCGGTTTCATTGTATGTACCCGTGTACGATGCTCAATTAATAATAATGACATTTTAGCGTCTTATGTAATGATTTGATATTAAAGGAATTTATCACACTCTTTAAACCATTTTACAAATAAACAACAAACAACCACCCGTTGTCTTCGCTTTGTGTTCCACCCCTCGGGCTTTGTTATGTATCACCCCGGGGACCTAGCTGGGACCCACTCTTTGTTGTGTCTAGTAAGTGGTTACAGATAATGTAGTAGCGACATATGTAAGGTAAAACATGTCCGCTGGTAGATGTTTGCCCGTTTACGGGCCCGTGTAGCTACTGCTGTCCAAATAACACACATAGACCCTAACACAGACGGCCTGGCCCTGAACACATGTCCACAATTAAACCCCTAACGGATCAAATATCACAGTGTGCTAGTGAAACACGAGTGTACGACGATTCCCACCAAAATCCGGGGCCGCAAACAACGCCAGTTAAACCAAAACAATAGAAATGCGAAATGTATAAGCGAGGGTAAACTGTATGAGATGTGGCGTAGTGTGCGAGTTTACATAGCATGTACCATATATACAATATAACACAGGTATACTCACGACATGTTTGGCCTCCCGTCACTCTAGTATACTGTCACCAATGTCCACCTGGTAAGATAAACAGACCACCACGTATAGGTAGGTGAACTCCACAAAATGTTTTCGGGTTGTAACTCAACGTAGAAATGCTTTATGTTAGTTCACTTTGAGTTAAATAACTTAAACGAAAAGATTAAAAATTCAAGTCATCTTTCCAAGTGTTCGAAACAGAAATGTGTTGAGAAGTGAACGACACAACACTCATACAGTCATGCATGAGACCAATGAAAGTGTCCAATCAGACGAGAGAACGCTAGGTCAGAGGTCATTATTATGTGTGGAGTGTAGAGTGTAGTAGAGTGTACAGTGTGTAGATGAACACGCCAACTCCTGACAGTATACATTCCCCACTTTAAACCAGATTTTACTTCACACTAGTATGTTAATATCATATGCGATTATCATAATAGTATGATCAAGTGAAAAAATAAAGAAAAAATGAAGAAAATATCGATCGATAAAAGTGAAATTGTCCCCAGTTATTTCGTCATATCTCTATTACAAAGCAATCGGCACTCCCGGAATTAAATATCGGAATGTTTAATCAGGAAATTAAGATTTCTAGTTGTTCGGTGTCAAAGATTAAAAAAAAATCATGAATAACTTCATTTTTATTTTTTAGATAAGTATTCAAATCCAACTATGTTTTCAAATTAATTTTCAATGCAATTTTTTAAACAAAAATTGATATATACACACACACTTAAAGGAGCATGGATTCACCCATAATCAAATGGAGGGTTGCACGGGGGACATGAATTCTTATTAGATTCCCAAATAAATAAAAATAATAATAAGGATCTGCTTAGAAATTTGCCAAGCTTCGTTGGTTTCCTAAAGCATTGGAACCCCGACCATACCCCCACCCCCGGGATCACAGGTACTGCTTTACACAGTCACGTGTATTCCAGGAAAGTCTGGGACTGGAATGGTCTTATCTGGCACAATAGCTGGTAGCACACCTAACTATATATACTACACTAAGATAGCCTGGCCGCTGTCTTCATACACCTCATACACCATGACATGTTGACAAAAGTTTGGACAGTTTACGACTTATACTACAGGTTCCGCTGCACCATCTGTGACTCCGAAAAAAAAAGAATATTTACAACTTACGCCTTATTTTATAACAACAAAATGTGATGTGTACACTAATAATTTACAATTATAAAACTGACAGAAATGATGTAAAATGATTTAGAGGGGAACATCTGTAAATGATGAAGTCAGATTTCATAATACGCTTAAGAGTGAAGATCTCTGACATCAGCATTAATAAGAATGATTATCTATAACATTCAGTCAGAGACGTATCAAACCGAACACGCCCCTGATTCAGTAGAACTTTTATTTAAAACACTCATATTAAACCCCAGAAGGACATTTTCCATTGTTTACGGATCAGTGACTTACGACCCGTACATATTAGACACATGTCAAATGTCATCATAAAACAATGGTCGTTAACGAGACACGTACCGACTGTCCTCTCACTGTCCTGACCTACATCGACACGTGACCACAGTATACCATTGTGTTGGCATTTGCCGACACGGATTCCATTTTGTCCGTCAACACCCTCCGATGTTGGAACTATACTCATTTTTAAACAGGATTTTCTTCCGTTTTCGTTTTTTTTAATCAGAAGTTGTTTTATTTCTCTTTTTACCCTTTGGAGTAACCAGAGGCGTGTAAGTAACAGTACAACAACGGAATAACATACCTACCAGTCTCTCTATGTTGGCGAAATTCCCCCGATATATTTTTTTATTTGTTTTTATTTAATTCACAGCATTTTATTTTGCGTAAATTTCATTAATTGGCATCAATATTGAGGTACTTTATATGATAATTAGGTCGCCCATTTGATCATACACATTTTCCGAAACGAATATGTATCTGTTCTGTTCAATAGCTTTAAATATTATATTTCAAGACGAAAAAGATTAAAAACATTCGTCCACTTCTATCATATCATAATTTATCATACTCGAGAAATACTTCGGAGTTGTACATAAAGGGCTCCACTGACGTTGGTCTATCAGACAGGTAGGTACAGGTAAGTGTCGGAGACACAGATAGCACAGCCCTTATCTCGAGTTTGACGTACCTCTCGACTTCGGGGTTTGTAAGACGTGCTTTTGATATTGTGTTCACAAACATAGGCAAAATAAACCATAATCACCGTGGAAATTTACGTCATGGGCTAGTGGAGGGAGTACCGTGATCCGAGCTCTATTTCGTCATAACAGGATCTGGGGGTATAAGGGGAAAATAAACAGTAAAAGGAATAAGATGGTGAATTAGTGTTTTATTACCCCGGAACACCTATATTAAGGACAGAACGGCTATCTAATCAGTGTCTATGAATATCATTTATTTTCCCGTCAAACCTATCAAAACTGAGTAAAATGGTGAAAATTACAATATTTTTAAAGCAAACTGTCAGGGTGGTGGGGTTCTTGAACAGTGACAGACAACTTGAGACAAGGGCAGACAACTCTATATGGTCGTAAATCGTAGTCGGATGTTAGTTTTACATAAGAGCCGTCGTTAAAAACATAGGAATAAAGGGGATAAACATGAAAAAACTCTCTATAGAAATGTCCGAAACCTTTTTTTTACATGGACAAAAAATGGAGAACAAAATAAGTGGTAAAATCGATGAAATCTTGACCTTAAAAAGAATGATTTCTAATTCGCGCATTAAGAAGGAGAGAAAGAAAACTGTGGAGAACATACGGAAAGCTGGTGCACCAGTGCTGGGGAATTCTAGGTTAGAAAGAGTTCCAGTTTTGTTTCTCATAATCTTCATAGTATTATCATAAAGAATTTTATGATAAAAGTGCTAAATTTGAACATTAATTCAATATCTCATTATATTCTTTACTGGCGTATTTCAAACCACAAACTTTCATTTAATTTATCCCATCGTGTGACATAAATAAAACTATTATCCCTGAACTATTTGTGTAAATTGTTTCTCCTTTACTTGTATCAATTTAGATATAAGTGTGTCATTGTTGTCAGATTAACTCATGCATTTACTTTGTCCATATTATACCATATATCTTTCACCTTAAATAAATTACGTAACAGGATTAACTGGTCATACCAGATCGGACTTCATTTGCCATATCTGCGACTTTATTTCCTCATGTAACACATATTATGTATCTGAATTTGAATTTGAGTGTTAATAAAAAATATTGAATCTTGACACTGCATTCAGTCTAAGACAAAGGACAGCTAAATTGGCTTACCTGGTCGGTTACGGCTTGGGTCCGAAAGGCCGATTGCTATGAATGACAGATCTGATGTCACTCAAACCACGGACTTAGGTAGCTAATTCCGTGTTCACTCTAATTACCTAATTACTATTGTGTAAATGAACTTACGACATGATTACGATTGGTAACTACCGTTCGGACCTAGGCATCGGACTGTACGGGTGTGTTTTTGCATACTCCAGAAATCACCCACCGACCTAGAGAAAGTTATTCTAATAAATTTATATTTGGACCATACAACATCTTCAGAACTTTTATTTTTCAAATTAGATAACAACACCCCATAAAAGTGTTATTATAGTATACACCACTATACTCGCATCCTCGGACATATAGCCAAAGGGTAAATGTTAAAAAAAGTAGACAGTTGATGGATCAGCTCTCTATATTTAGTAACAAATATGCAGGAAAAAAAATAGTATATGTTTACTGATACTGTGATAGCCTATATGAAGACCAAGCTTGTCAGATTTATTTGCTAGGTAACTTGGGGAAATTTCATGGCTTTGGATCTTTATGTCTGTGCAATACATTTATGATTTCTGTCGAAGGTATTTGGAGAGATATGTTACCGAAATTGTAAAGTATTGATGTGGTAATGTCGGTAGTAAGGATCCTTTACGATTTCAGAGTATTTTTTACATCAATGCAACAAACAAGGTCATACGATGGCGGGGTCACAGATGATGGGGACAATCAAGGACCCATTTAAGTTCTATCTCATTGAAATAGCATAACCTGGATACGGTAACATGACGCTATAACCGACCACAACACCCACAAGAGGCTAGCGAGTGTGATGGCGACCGTCTCCTTCATTTCTAGGTCATTGACATCACGGAAATTGAGTCGTTTCTGAAAAGTTTCTTCTTTAAACATTTTTCTAAAGTAATTAATAAAAGTTAACGATACACAAACTTACCTTTTACAAGAACGGAGATGTCAAATTATAGTGATTACAGAGCACATAGGCCTACTGAGTTTGGCAAAGTCCGGGAAACAAGTTTTGTCTGTATTGAAGAGTTATGTCAAGGGCAATAACTGCGTGACACTGTAATCTATGCATTACAATGGTAAGCGATGAAAACTTCCTCGAGTATTAGGATGACCTAATTCTTAGCTGCATGTCACTTCAGTCGGGAAACCGCAACAATATCAAAATATGCAATGAAATCCAACGCCAATTTGTTTTAATTAGAGACGTATTATACGTCTCTGTTTTAATGTTAAATCTTTTTAAAAGCATATTACGTTACATTGTCATGTTTTCACAATAAATAAACACTTCCGGACACAGCTATTTGTTTAAGGGGCCCAGTCTGATCTATTACTTTGATACACTGACTGTTTGTTTACCTAATCATTAATCCCCGGCGAACAAAATGACTGGGATACTGTGAGGCTGACAACATATACCGTAACTCATTTAGACGGTGCATTTGGTCCTGCTTCCAAACCATTTTTTTGGTCATTTGTTTAAAACTTGAAACATAATTTGTTAAAACTGGGGCGGGAAGTGGGGGCAGATGCTGATATATTTCTAATAAATCTCTGACATAGCAAGTAGAACCCATGTTGTGACAATAAACATTTTGTAGGGATACCACATGTAGTATGACTATATATATATATATATATAGTGGCTATATATATATATATATATATGGGGCAAAGAAGTAATTCCAACATTTCGGAGCAATCCGCTCCTTTATCAAGACACAATGAAACAGAACAGTTACATGCACATACATCATATTGCAAGAAGATAGAACTTCTATACTATAATTGAAAATATAGCTATTATATATAAAAAAAAACCACCAATAGTCCCGTCGGCTAAAGACAGCCGAAGGCAGCAATTAAGCTGAGAACAACGCGGGCACGGAACGCTGATGTAGAGGACCTATTCTTGCGCAAGATACACTATCACATAAAGTGAG